CTTTAAAGCGTGGGAGAGTGGAGGGTGTGTGTGTGTGTTGGGGCGTTGGTGAAAGCAATAAAACTCAGATCGTTTCCTTGGCGAGATAGCGGCGACTATAATGCGCCGGGGGGATCAGGGGTTTATTTGCAGATCCTGGATAAAAGATGATATATCGACACGGTTTAGAGTGTCACTGCGCCTGGCCTCTCAGGAAGCCACAAGTACATATTTCCTGAAATACCACCCAACACAATATCTAATCCTCACGCCACTTAAGCACTGGGAGGGGAACCTCACAGCTCACAACTTCCAGCCTGGCTTCCCAGTTCTGCGTGGGAAGATCCACCCAGGCAAGTCTGGCGAGCTCCACACCCCCTCCTCTGGCCTTTGTCTTCAGTCCAAGTAATCACTTAGGATGGGCCTTAATAAATACGTCTGAGAACCATCCTTATGCTCAGTAAATATTGGATTAGCTTTTCAATGACCAGGCTCTTGAAAAGGCTCAGAAATCCACACCAGGTCTCAACTAAGCCCAACAGTCAATAGGTAAGGAAGCAAGTTATTTCCCGGCTGGAGTGGGGAGCAGAGAAGACGGTTCGCACTCTGACCACCTTACCTGGTTGTATCACACAGGGCAGTAGTGAGTGGGCAGGGCGGGACTGCTCAAGGTGGGGAAGCTGGAATCCCCACCAGCTCAGATGTGCTCACCAGGGGCTGGGTCACGTTGTTGCGGGAATATGTCTGTGTTCTATTATTTTCCCACAATGCTTGGCCTCATCAACTCTTTTTCTTTAGCATGGTTTGTTTAGGGGGTGCTTATGGGAATTTCGATCTGGCTACTGCCAGGGGGGTGGCAAGATCCAATGATTTCTGAGTGTCTCTGCCAACTGGGATGTTCACGGGAAGCAGAAAAAGGGCAGGCTTGGGAGCCCTGCGGTGTCTCCCTGCTACTGAATTTTGCAAAGATCACCATTCAGGATACACTAAAAATTAGGGAAGGAGTCTTTCCTCCTCTCCTCCTCTCCTATAGAGGGAAGAGGCTGCTGGGAGAAGTTTCTGAACCGGTTTGCCATAGCACCGACAAGCCACTGCCATTCCCCACCGGCAATTCAAATGAAAGGGTACCTTTTAACTTTGGGGTTGGAAACCGAATGGCCCAACCAGGAGCAAAGAGGCCTTGGAAGGGGTTGGGTGAAAATCGAAGTGGACCCAGGGGTGAAGAGGCTCCTTGGCCTCACAGAGCCTCTGGGTGCTCCCAGCACCAGTGACAGAAGGCTTGAGGGGATTGGATTTTATCTACCCTAAAGCCTGGAAGTCCAAGCATCAGCCAAGCCCTGGGCAACTCATGGTATCTCTGGAGCCTGGAGACAGTCCTGTGGCTCCCACACCCGGTTTCTCAGGCAGAAGCAGCCTAGTGGCCAGTTCTGACACATGGGAGCCAGTCAGGGAGCACAAGGAACCCAAATCTTGAAGACGCGTGGTTCACAGGCCCAGCCTGAGTCTCCTCACAGCCAATATTTGTGTGTGTGGAGAGAGAGAGAGAGAGAGAGAGAGAGAGATCCAGCTCTCTGTGTCATGGGGCCTAGGAGGGGCAAGCGCCCTCTGAAGCCATCAAAGAAGGGGTGGCTTTTTCCCCTCCTCCAGCCTCCTCCCCAATAGATATAGCACGAATTTTTAATGCGTCTTCTTTCACAGACAACAATACAGGGTTTGAAAGCTGGACACAATTTGGGTTTTGTGCGGGTCCCTCCTCGCGCTCCCTCGGCCCAGCTGGCCATATGGAATCCAGCATGGAGCCCGCGGATGACAAAGGGACCCAGTGACAGGCCCAACAAAACCCCAAGGAGACTTCTGCCTGACTCCGGGATTCACTGCCTGCGATAAGCGCGCTGAATGGTGCCGAATGGGGCGGGGGAGGACGGGCCCCTTCTCCCTCTTCCCCTCTCCTGTCCTCTGCGATCCTTTCTCTGTCCCTTTTTAATATGCACGCCTCTAACATCTCCGGCTCCCAGCTTTCCCATTGTGCCGTTTTGTGCGGCCCGCTGTAGATTGGGCGAAGATAGACTGCCAAAGCGGACCCCGCGCCGGGTGCGCTCCCAGGGCGCTGGGGTTAGGGCCACACAGAGCTCCGCGGGCGCTTTTATTGACTCCGTGGGGACCCGAGGACCGAGGGAGGCGGGCGCCCGGCCCACCTCCCAGCTCCCGGCCGCTTGAGCGCACACCCAGACCGCAGGCTTGAGGGCCTAGCCACTGCTCCAAATGCGCTCTTGATGCGCACGCAGTGGACGCCTGCGAGAATTTGCACACCTCTCCCCAACCTCACACACCCACTTTCTCTCAGGGGGCCTGGGAGGAGGGCATCTGTGAACCATCTTGACCTCCGGAAACTTTGGGGCCTAGAACAGTCAAAATCCACTCGGGTCCTCCATGCTGGGCCTCAGGCCTCAGGACAAGTCCTCTCCAAGAGACTGGGACCCCCAACTCCTCTAGCAGAGAACTGGGGACTAGGGGAAGCGGGAGTGGATGGTGAGCGATGGGCATCAGGGCTTGCTGGGTGGGTGACTGCATAACTAAGGATTTAGGGGAATTCTAGGGCCTCCGCAAACGGCAAGGCAGAAAACATTAAAGGCCTCTAAGCGGGTGTGGAGAACAAAGGGAGACTTCCCAGCATTTAGGGAAGCTGCCCCTTTCCCGCGGGTAAACCTGGACTGGGGAAAGCCCTCCAGGAGGATGTTAGAAAGACTCCCGGGCCCTCAATTATCCAAGGGCGTGCGCGAGGCTAGCGTAATCACGTCCCTGGGCGGGCTGCGCTGAGGGCTATCGACGCGCAGATTTGGTCACACGGATAATCATGTTTGCTCTAGATATTGAATTAAATCTGATCATCAACCAGAGGGAGCGAGAAAGTCAGCGGGGACGGCTCCCTTTGCCTGGCCTCCTCGCCCCCACCCCAGCCTTGACTGGAGCTCCAGAGAGAACCACAGATACAATTTCCAAACGGGCTGACTTTCATTGCCCCCAGGCGTCTCAGAGCACCCGCTGGGCGCTGAGCCCTGAGCCCCGGTATTTTCGGAAATCCGCCAGACAGAGGAGAAAGGCGCATCGTCCAGTCTGCGGGTCCCTTGGGAGCCCTCCCGCGTGGCCAAGTGTGCGCCAGCATCCGCCGAGGAGATCTGCTCCCAGGGGCCAGGGCGGTGGACTCAGTGCTCCACTGGGGGAGGATGGGTGTGCTCCCCCACCCCCCAGGCGAAACTGGGGCTGAGTGTCCCCTGCCCGCATTCCCACCCCGCTCTGGAGCACCCCGGGCTCCCCGCTCCACCTCCAAGCCTCTACTTTCTAACCTGTTCACCCAGCCCCTTCCCAAGAGTTAGCCTGGGGGTGGGGGGACTGTGCACCGCCACACGCTGGGAGGGGAGGACGCACTGAACCCAGTCAGGGGAAGGGACGACTGGAAACCCGGGCAGGATGGAGGAGGAGGCGGGCGGGCGCGGTTTGCTGGGGTTGCCGGACTCCCATTTTCTGGCTCCTTGGGGCCAAACGCCTCCCCCACGTCCCCCGTCATAACCAAAGTCTAACGCTCCCCGAAACCCTCCGACAACCCCTCCACCCCCTACACACTCTGCCCAGATCAAGGAGCAGCTTTCAAAAAGGCGGTGGGACGCAGAGCGGGAGCCGACCCGGGTCAACCTCGGCCACCCCCCTCGTCCCCCCTTGTCAGCGCGGGGTAAATCTAACGCGCAAAGTGAAAGTCGTCAGTGTAGTGGCTTCAACAGCTTCTCAGGCTGAAGGAGCCACTCGTAGATCTGGGTCAGCGAGGGGGACAGGCTCTCCTCATCCCGGTTGCCCAAACTCACTTTTCCTCCCGAAGCCCGGTTGCCCGACGCGCGAAGCCTGGAGAGAGGCCCTGGAGAGGGCGGGCGACCCTGGGCTTCCGGCCCACTGCTCTCAGGCCTGAGGCCGAGCACTCTCGTTCGGACTCCGGGTCCTAGGCACCAGATCCAGCCTGTGAGTCAGAAGAGGCCTGTCCCAGGAGCCCCTCTGGCGCCCCCAGCTCCGCGACTCCCGCCCCGAGGACGCTCCACTGGGAGCGCTGAGCGCGCCTGGGCCCAGCTCCTCGCCTGAGGCCTCCAGCCCCGCCGAAGGCGACCAAGTCAGACAAACGGGAGGGCCCGGCCTGGCTTTCTTTTCTTCTTCTTCTTCTTTTTTTTTTTTTAAACACAAGATTTTTATTAAAATTCTTATTTAAAAAAATCGAAAACTCTCAGCGCCCGGCGCTCTAGAACCGCGCAGAACCGCTGAACTCCAAGTTCCGGGGATCAGGACCCGGAGGATGGGGCAAGGGGTTTCTCGCCTACACATTTTTTCTTTTTCATATTTGAGAAATGTTTGCAATGAACAAATAAAAAAATAAAGAAAAGAAGGGGGAAAGAAAGCGGGAGTAACCCAAATATAACCAAACCAAAACAAACACAGAGAAAGGAGGTGGGCCCCCAGGGGGACAGGCCTGTCCTGAAGGTCATTTTGGCAACAATTACCACCGATATTTACAACGAAAAGCGAAATCTGCCACGAGCTGTCAGAACGTTTACATGGCCATAAATATTTAGCATTTTCTTATATAAAAAAGAAATCCTCTGTATTTTTTAAGTGTTCTCCACTTGCTTTAGAAGAAGACGGCTGACGATATCGCTACTCACACAAACATATTTTACAAAATTCACGAAAGCTGGGGCGGGGGATGTGTCGGTCTTTCTCTCGTTTAAAGTGAGGACGTTAGCGCTGGGACAGTCTGGTCCCCCTGGGGAGAGGCAAGGGAGCGAAGCTGCGCAAACATTCTGTAAACAGGGCTTAGAGTCCAGCCCTCTCCAAAGGTTCACAAGGAGAGAGCGACGAGGGCAGCGCTGGGCCGATGGACTCTGCCGCTCCGAGGGGAGCAGGCCACCTCCCGGCGCCTCCCCAACGGAGCCGAGAGTCAACTCGACTCCATAATAATAATTAAAATAATAATAATAACCACAAGTACCAAGGCCTCTCGCCGCGGCCATCGCCGGCGTGGGGCCCGGGCCTGGGGCCGCGAGTCTTGGAGGAGCGGCGCTCACCAAGTCCACTGCTGGGCCTGCACCAGGGGGTGCGCTGTCGGGTACTGGGGGGTGCTGGCCGAGCTGTACTGGGCGTTGTACTGCATGTGCTGCAGAGACTGCGCGCTGTAGGCCGAAAAGGGGATGCCCGCTTGGAAGGTGGCGGCCGCCAGGTCCTGGGCTTTGAGCGCATGGCACGGTTTGCCGTCCCTGACCAAGACCGGCACGGCCACCCGGCGCGGCGAGGGCAGGGGCGTCACCTCCATACCTTTCTCCGCCCGGGCGCGTTTCATCTTGTAGCGGTGGTTCTGGAACCAGATCTTGACCTGCGTGGGCGTGAGGTGGATCATGCTGGCCAGGTGCTCGCGCTCGGGCGCCGACAGGTACTTCTGCTGCTTGAAGCGCCGCTCCAGCTCGTACACCTGCGCGCCGCTCCAGCTCGTAGGTCTGCGCCTTGGAGAAGAGCACCCGCCGCTTCCGCTTCTTGCCAGCGTCCCCCCCGCCGCCCGGGGTCTCCTTCTCATTGTCCGGTGACTCGTCGGCCGAGGGCTCCGGGGACTTGGAGCTGGAGTCCTGGGGGGGCGCGCCGGCCGCCAGCCCGTGCACTGGCGGGGGCGGGGGAGGGGGGGGGGGGAGGAGGGCGGTTCCTCGCCCCGCCTGGGCTGGACCCTGAGCACCCGGAATCCTCCGTGCGCCCCTGGCCCTCAGCGCCCAGTACCTGGCAGTGGTCTGTGCGGTGACCCCCGCCCTGCCCCACGTCTGATGAAGCCGTCAGGGTCTCCCAGGGTGAAGAGAAGATACGCAGGAGTGAGGTCAGGGGGCTTACATTTCTAGGGGTTCTCAGAGTGGGGTTGCAAATTTAGGGGGAGTGGCACGCGGAAGATTGCCTTGGGTTAAGGGCTCCGGTCCCCTTAAGCGGTTTCCTCTCCGAAGAGACGTGGGCAGATTTTTAAAAGAAAAACCCCACAATCCTGGCATTGATAGGCTTGGCCATTTAAGGCAGGTTTTTGGGGGCTTTCGTTTTGGCTTTCGAGCTTTCTCAACACACCCAGCATGCACAAAGCATCCTCTATGATAGCGCAGGGGGCAGGGTGAGCTATTTATACCCGGCCACCCGAGCCTCCCCCACCCTCTCCCCGTACCCGGACCAGGCACCCTGGTTAGCTCCAGTGCGCCAGGCCAGTCCCTCCCGGCGGAGGCGGTCAGAGTGGGGGGCTCCTGCCCGAGCCATCAGTTCGGGTTGACATCTGTAACAAGCCCTTGGGAGGTATTTCCCTTCTCCTCTTCCTCCTTAATTTCTCGCGTTGAAAATAATAATAATAACCGAGACCAGGTCTTTTTCCAGGACTAACGGGACATTCGAGGAGGAAAGAGGGCATCCCAAACACGTGTTAAAAAAAATCTTTCTAGGGGACTTGGGATGAGGGATCTGGACTTAAACGATTCCTTCGCCTCTCGCTCCCAGCGACGGCCCAGGCTGCGGCCACAGCAATGGAGGAGCCCCCAGGCCGCGGCGGCCAAGTTTCGCTACTTACGGGAGTACTGGAGGCCCTCGGTGCTGGCCAGCCAGCGCGTGTACGGGTTGTCGCTGCTGTCGTAGAAGGGGTTCTTCAGGGGCAGGCTTTGCACGGCGTCCAGGGCGCCCTGTCCCAGCGGCCCGGCCCTCTTGGCTGGCTCCGGGCCCTCGCTCTCCTCCTCCGGCCCTTCGGCCACCGAGCCCTCCTCATCGTTGGTATCCGGCAGGTCCAAGATGTCCTTGACCGAAAACCCCGTCTTTGTGTTGGTCAGCGACATGGCTCGGAACCCCGCAATGTATGCTGCAAAGTTGTAGCTTCTTCACTTGGGTCAATTCTTGGCGCTCCCCAGCGTAGGGGGAAGGGACTGGGGAAGGGGAGGGGGATGGGCTTTAATTATTGCGATAATAATTATTTTTTAAAAGGGACGAAACAGTAGGGAAGGGGAGGAAAAAAATAAGCCCAACCCACTGCCTGTGTCTTCCCTGGGAGCACAGGGAAATGCACGCAGGGAGCGGGGCGGCCGCGCAGCGCGGCCGGCCTTAGTTTGTAACTCCAGGAGGGGGTGCCAAGGCGGCGTCAGCTCGGCTCCGGCGGCTTCGGCCGCTCGGCGCGCGGTGGCGGCTGGTGGCGAGGAAAAAATGGGCCATTGCCCGAGCGATCAGTCCATATAAGGCTGGGCTCCACTCACGAACCTGGGGAGGAGGGGGAGAGGGGGAGAAAGAGAGGGAGGGAGGGAAAGCGAGGGAGGGAGGGGGAGTGAGAGAGGGAGCGAGAGAAGGGTGGAAAAAAAGGGGAAGAGACATTAAAAACGCAAAGGTTGGCCACGTGTGGGCGGGTCTTGGGAGTCAAGTGGATGAAGACAGTATTTGCAGATGTGAAATTGTGGGTTTTGGGGAGCTCCGCGCTCCCAGCCAACGGCCCTCTAGAGCAAGATGAGAGGTGTAACGTGTCAATTAATTGCAAAGGGGGGGGGAGCCTTTTTTTTTTTTTAAACCAAGTATTTACATACATATGACCACCGCGTCGCTCGCGAGTCCACACACTTGAAAGGGCCATTTTAACAAATTGCATCTTAAAAAGGTGTGTGTGTGGGGGGAGAGAAACCAAAACAGAAACCAGGAGGAGGAAAAAAAAATTCCTCTTTAACATTCACGGGTTCCTAGCTCCCCGCCCCCGCGCGCCCGCCCCAAGCAAGCCGGAAAATTGGCGATTTGTGGCGCCTTTGGAAAAGGGGGAGGGGGGCGAAGGCTGAGCCGCGGAAATCTCTCCTTCCCATCGCTGGTGGTTCCCTAAACAAGATCCGGTTCAAATGGCAAGAGCCCAACTTCTGTAAGCCTCCTAGGTCAATATTTTGGTTGAGGCTTAAGGATGAGTACCAGAAATGACAAGGCAAGTAATTGATTCTAGTTAACAGAGAAAGAGCCTGAAACCCAGGAGAGGGCTCCGCTCCGGCCGGCCGGAGCCACCACTCCGCGACCCGCCCCCCTCCAGCCGCCCTTCATTTGCTAAAGACTCATTTATTTCCTCCAGTCCGCCTCCCCCTCCCCCATTTCTGTGCGCAGGGGGGAGGGCGTGCAGTACTTTCAGCTTTGCGGGCGGTC